CACTCTGTTGCCCTCCCAAAGTGCTGGGATTACAGGCATGAGCTGCCACGCCGGTTTATTTGCTCTTTTCTGTGTGAGCTTGAATGTTTTTTTCTTACAATTATGAGCCTTTGTATTTTCTTTTCTATAAATTTTCATTTTATTTATTTATTTATTTTTTGAGACAGAGTCTCACTCTGCCGCCAGGCGCCAGGCTGGAGTGCAGTGGCACAATCTTGGTTCATTGCAACTTCCGCCTCCCGGGTTCAAGTAATTCTCCTGCCTCAGCCTCCCGAGTAGCTGGGACTACAGGCACGCGCCACCATGCCCAGCTAATTTTTGTATTTTTAGTAGAAACGGGGTTTCGCCATTTTGGCCAGGATGGTCTTGATCTCTTGACCTCGTGATCCACCCGCCTCGGCCTCCCAAAGTGCTGGGATTATAGGTGTGAGCCACCGCGCCCAGCCAATTTTACTTATTTTTGAGACAGAGCCTTGCTCTGTCACTCAGGCTGGAGTGTAGTGGTGCGATTACAGCTCACTGCAGCCTCCACCTCTCACGCTCAAACAATCCTCCCTCCTCAGCCTCCTGAGTAGTGGGCACCACAGGTATGTGCCACCATGCCTGGCTAATTTTTTAATTGTTTTGTAGAGATGGGGGTCTTGCTATGTTGGCATACATTTGGGTCTATTTATGGACTTTTAATTCTGTTTCACTGAACTTTCTGTTTGTCTGATTGATATGTCTTAATATTGAGAAGGCTAGTCCCGTCCCATTATCCTTCTTTTCCAGACTTTTCCTTGCTATTTTTGCTTCTTCCTTTTTCCTATCCATACAAATTTTAGAACTAGCTTGTCTGGTTCTAAATGCTAAAATTCTGTTGGCATTTTATTTTATTTATTTATTTATTTTTGACGGAGTCTTCCTATGTTGCCCAGGCTGGGGTGCAGTTGAGCGATCATGGCTCACTGCAACCTCTGATTCCTGGGTTCAAGCAATTCTCCTGTCTCGGCCTCCGGAGTCCCTGGGACTACAGGCGAATGCCACCATGCCTGGCTACTTTTTTTTTTTTAATCTTTAGTAGAGACAGGATTTCACTGTGTTAGCCAGGGCGGTGTCGATCTCCTGACCTCCTGATCCACCCGCCTCACGCTCTCAAAGTGTTGGGATTACAGGCGTGAGACACCGTGCCTGGCCTCTCTTGGCATTTTATTAAGATTATATTAAATATATTATAGGGAGAACTCTTGAATACAGCTTTATCAGCTTAGCTGGTAACTACTGTCCTCAGCATCTGAGAGGCCCAGACAAAAGAGCGCCAGCAGAGGACCTACCTGCATGGGTCCCTTTGGGGTGGACTCACTATCAGGGGTCAGATTGCAGACACAGCTTCAGTGGCACAAACACAATGTGAGAGAGCTTAAGACTTTTTAGTACTTTCAGATCCTGGAGGGCACCATGTCCTGCCCAGCCTGCCCCCAACATGCACACACCCACACATGCACACATGCACATATGTGCCCAGGTCAGAGAGGACAGGCAGATAAAGACAGAAGACATTTGTGGGCCAATGTCTTTATTAGGTCGTGTGTTATCCAAACAGGGTTCCCTTGAGAAGCCTTAATTGGTGGATTTAAAGAAAGCAGGTCCAGGCTGCCCAACATGGCGCCACCTCCCATCTCTTCCCCACCCCCAATCCCTTCAGCCTGGGTGACAGAGTGAAACTTTATCTAGAGAGAGAGAGAGAGAGAGAGAGAGAGAGGAGAGAAGGGGGCAGGGAGAGAGAGAGAGAGAGAGAGAGAGAGAGAGAGAAAGCAGGTACTAGTTCCAGGAGGTCACACTATGACTGTGATGCAATGCAGTCACTTTAAGTTCTTGGGCAATTTTTTTTTTGAAATGGAGTTTTGCTCTTGTTGCCCAGGCTGGAGTGTAATGATGTGATCTTGGCT